CCCAAGTGACAAAAAATAGGGTAACAGCTACTATGATACTGGTTTTAGCCACACAACCGTATCATGCACTTGGTTGTAAATAATAATGTAATGAGACTGGCAGGGGCCGCAGATTTAATGTAAGCCACAATATTTAATTCTGACATAAAATGAGCCTCTTAGGAAGTTTCTTTTTTCAAAAGCGGCAAATTGTCCATTTGCTATACTTAAGTCATATCTTATTTTATTGCCAAGTTCAGTTCCTGTTGAGTGTACTCACATTAAATCTGATAAGAGATTTATACTATCTTGCTTTGATTCAAATGACAAAGCTTCTCAATGTGGAGGTTTCTATTACTACTTAATAAAGATCTGCAGCTCTCACTTTCAGCTAAAAGTTCAACCGTGTCTCTGGCCAAGTCCTTTGAAGTGATCCTTTTCCAAAGGAAAAACCAACGCTCGTCCATAAACCACGGCGGGCCCCGAACCAATGCCCACGCCTGAAATGAATACCTGTTTAAGAAATGACACCGCTTACACTTGCATGATCCGGGTCCTGAACTCTGAACCGACTATGAGCACGGCAAACTGTAAATATATCTTTTCTGGACTTGTGGAAAAACGTGGATGAAAACGATGGCGAAGGAAATCCGATCCGTTCTTTGGAAACGCTGCTTCGAGGTAATTCAAGACATTGCAGCAGCTGTAAGGATGAAATGATGAAATTCTGTCCCGTAGAGTTGCGTTCATTTGATCACAACCTCACCGCGTTGAGGTCATTCGGGTCATTCGTTGAACTTATTTCGGAGTGACTGCGTGGCTTTACACTTCGACATATCGTTCTTACGCCCCTCATTGTGACAGTGGCAAAGCCTCAACCCTGGAGGCGCGTGGCATCCGTGTGTATTTCCTCAAACTGACTCTCAGCAGGGATCCAAAGCGCTGATTTCTGCATCAAGAGCAAACACATGCAGACGTTTTTACGAGCTGATTGCACGTTTGTGACACTAGGCTGAGCCAGGAATGTTCAGCCCACCTCAGTTTGTGGAGGGAAGAGCGCGGTCAGGAGGTCAGAGCTGCCCAGAATAGTTGAGCTTTGCAATCGGCGTGCATCGGCTCCAGAATGTGGTGGACATTTGCTCACAGTGTGGACGATGTCTCCCTCCCAGCAGGTACCGCCTCCCGTTTACGGACAACGAGGTTGAACAAGGAGGGTTGTTAGGCTCAGAAATGTCCTGTTTTCGGGCTGGAGGCAGAGTTTGTGTGGTTGTCTTTGCTCGTGCAGGAGCAGCTATAATCGAAGGAATAAACAGAGGGAGCCTCGATCAAAAAATACAAATGGATTCTTCTGAAACTGTGGCGTCAAAAGACTTAGTAACATTAAAGTAATCCAGCAAAACATTCTGCGTTCCTCTAGATCCAGAGAGAAAGATTGTAATCAAACGCGACAACATTTCTCTGATTATTATCGAGCGATACACAGAAAACCAGACGTGTCCATTGACGGGACATTTTCAACTGGAGCTTTTACAGATTTCTTCATGCAGTAAGCTGAGCTGTTACTCTCCATTGTGGACTATGGGTTGGTCATTACATGCTTCTGCCTCTCACCACTCGCGTGAATTTAAAATCAAAAAAAGAATCAACTGTGGTTCACGGTTTAGGAAAGAAAATTCTAAGAATGTAGAACTTCCTGTAAAAGTCAATCGCCCGGGTCAGGTTTACCTTTAAGTGCTGTATTTGACCATCAGTGTTGATCAGTAAACAACAACAACCACATGTGTTTAAATGAGCTTTCAAACTGTATTGTTGCTCCTAATAGCTGGATATTTTTATCGTGGAAGGAACTTAAATTTTGCAAATAACCTCGGTCTCAACACAGTGACCGAATCTCTGAACATCTATCATCCAATTTGCTCTCTCATTTATCCTCAACCTCTGAGACCACAAATGGAGATTCCTGAATTACTCAAGAAACAAGGCAGCGTCCTTCCTTTCCCTAATGGCCATTGGGAAAGCAGCTTAAAGCCGAGATAGAGGGCCAGCCTTAAATACAAAGCAGCAGGAGATGGAAGAGTTGGCTTTCAAAGCGAGATATATAGCCAGCACAAGACCAGGATCAGTTGCTTTGGGAACTTAAAACCTTGGATGACGGTGAGAGCCATTTATAATATTAAGATAAATTGGCTCGTCCTGCCACCAGCCGGAGTTGTCGTGAGATCGTCTCGTTTGATTCAAATGAAGCACATCGACGTGTGTTTAGAGGCTATTTAAAGGTAAAGCGTTGATCTAAAGAAGTTATAAAAAAAAACCTTCATATTGCATTTGGACCTTTTGGCTACATCTCGGTAGTTATCCACCTTGTTGATTTCAGTTTACAAGCCTAATCCTTTTCTGTTTAAGAGGGTATGACAGTGTGTGCCTCGCCTCGTTTCGGGAGTATCCCACTGTGGCAGGTAAAACCTCCCAAATCAATAGCACATATGGTCCACATTACAGTGGGAGAGGCCTCCAGAAAACCTCTTTCTTTGAGAGTGGCTCACGCCGATGACAGACGCGTTCTGATTCCACATATGTTGAAATGTAGAAAGCGTTACATGGCCTCTTTGATACAGGATGATTTATAGGGCCTTGACACCAGTTGCAAATGTCTTTGGCGAGGGCACGGGGAGGCCTACCCCGCAAGCGGATAGCGTCGATCAAGTCAGATGCAGGGCCACAACAAAATGGATTGCGTTTCCACTCAGGAGTTCCTTGACTTATTGCTCTCGTGCTCCTTGTTGGGCCGTCGTCGCCAAACGTCAAGCTGCTTCTTGTACTCGGATTGGAGGAAAACAAGAGAAAGGCCGGTTGGGTAAAACTTGTGCATCCTCACGGATGTTCAGTGCTTTCACTCCATCTGGAGGGAGGAGGACATTTGATTCCAACTTCTCTCACTATCCTTGTTGTGCACAGATTTCACGCTCCAATTAGACAGGAGCTGAGGCAGAAACAGGCAGGGAGGAAAAAGCAGACAAAGCTGGACGAGATCTGCCCAGTGTGCATAAAGTACCCTGCCAAAGTTGGCTAAGGTCACTGTCTTGTGAGGTATAATTATACCGTTAGACTAAGTCTCGCGCTTCTACATGATGGTAGATAAACCCCCCTCATATTTGTGACACTTCTCAAGTTCGAATCCGGACTGATGCAGCTAACTCAATTAGCAAAGGGGGGGGCGGGGGGGGGATCAGGCAGCCCCCGTAATGGGGACTGGTGGGGATGAGCGAACTTGTTCCCGAAAATGAATTACCTATCACATTTCTTGTGGTCATCAAAGTACCAACGTCACAGCTAAATCCGTATTCAGCGCTCATGTTCCATTAAGAATGTCAGTCGTTGGCTTGACAGAGTTGTGCGTTAATGTTCGCCGTTGTCAAACCACAGCTCCTGCATGCAAATGAGGTCTTTAGATGTGTCTGCGAGATGAGGTAATTTGGTTACGAAGGCATATATAAATATCAGAGTACAGCTGTTGGTCACTCATAATGCCTCTAAACAAAGGTGGGTACAAGAGGGCAATTAATAATGTACAGTTAGACCTGACAGCCCCCAGAAGGAGGTAAGTGACAGCATGCAAGCCGCGGCTTAATGTCATTTTGCATCTCCATTACGCCATGAACTTTATTGAATAATATCTCACCCCTGTGCAACGCTGACAATCAGCCGTATGGAGGGCCGGACTCAGTCATGAATTGTGTCCCGCACCCACTGCTTACTGTCCTGCTTTTATCGCATTGCTGTTTAGAGTTTTTAGAATTGATTCGTATTGATGGAAAACAACTGTAATGCATCACGTTTTTATGAATATGGCTTGTCCTGGGAACGGGATGTGACTATATCCCCTCAAGTCTTAAAAAAGTCTTCTTGCCTCTCAAAGTAACAGAATGATGAATCCTACGTAAGAACTGCATTATACTGCAAAGTTTGATTTGATATTTCTATCATTTAACGGGACATTTGAGTAAGAATACAGTATCTCTCTGCTAAAATTGTTATGAAACGCTGTTAAAGACCCTTTGGCGACAAAGACGACTTTAACTTGTCGCGGGCAACTGCTGTACACAGAACACAGGTACGGTATGTTCATTCGGCAGGCGTGTGATAGAAACATGAGACTGAACCGTAAACGTGCCGTGAAGGCCGGGGAATGTGAGAATGTGAGGTGCCGGTCCGAGCTGGATTGGGTTTTTAGTCAAGGGGGGGGGGGGCATTCATGGATCCTCCAGCTGATGAAATCAAATCATGATGAACGGCGGCCTGGAACATAACGATTATTTGTCTTAGCTTTGTTTTTTCCAGACAACTCCAGTGAAAAAGACAAGCTTTTCACATCCACCCTAAAGGAAGATGTGTCAATATGTACTGCAGTTATCTAATATATGTTTTATATTGCAGTCGATCTAAAGCATTATCTTGGTTTCTCAAAATCAAGAAAGTATGATGTGTAGAAGAATAAGAACCGGAAGAAATACATTCAGAGCACTTTGACGTACTAGTAAAGCCCCGTGGCCGACATCAAACAAGTGAATGGGACGGAGCCGAAGCCCGGAGCTGTGAACACAATGTAGTCTTTACACCGGCAGGTTGTTTGTTTACACGCGGCCTGAGATAATTAGCCCAGAAGTAATGACTGCGCTCTGATGACAGCCACTGAAACCCGACCCCCCCCCGGTGTGACATCGGCTCTCCCCGTCACTCTCCCCTGCCCGACAACTGGGCCGGGGTTATTTTCTGCCCCGGCTGCTGGTGGGGCTAGCCTGGCGCCAGCCCCCGGGACCTGGAGAGCTAGGGGCGGGGGGCTGGACATTTGCCCCTTAACCCTCCACCCCCCCCAATGCCCTAACGATGCCAGGAGGCCGCCGCTGAAAACTCACTCATTTCACTGTCATGGCGTCTCCCGTTGATAACCTTATATTTTCTCCACTGATGAATGAGACTTCTTAAATATTCCAGCTGACCACAGCGTGTCGGGATGACTTGGATGTTAAACTCGCAGACATGTCAATGGTAGTCAATTGATCCATCACGTTGCGGAGGGCCACTGGGCTTAGAGAAGGCCAAAGCGGCTTGATCCTCCTCAAATCCAAAGCAAACAGGCACAACATGGCCGCCCTGATGCGCCGCAGCCTCGGGGCCTGAAAACAGGAGTTCCCCTGAGCAGCTATCAAAAGCTTTGCTTCCCGCCAAGTGCAAAGGCCTCACGATCCCCTGGAGTCTCAGAGGGCGAGGAAGACACGACCGGAGTCAACAACCTTCGTCTGTCCTTTTCAAGACCTTTACCCGCTCAGAGCAAAGCGTCTCAATGAATCCAGAACTTTCACTGTAAATATACATATTGAAGCCATTACTCGAGGAGTTTGGATGAGTCAAACGATGAAGAATGGCATTACTCGAGCAGCAAAAAAGACAAGTCTTTCTTTTGAAGACGATACTCCGTCTCCGGTTGTCGGTTGTGTTTTGCTTCCCTGAAAACATGCACTTCAGAGAAGGTAAGGAGGAGGGCAAAGCTACTAAAAGACACTTTAGTCAAGTTTCTGCTGCTGAGTCAAGTGTACGTCCTGCAGGTGTGCTTCACGATCGTTTATTGAACTTATCACAGGCAATCTGGGCATCAGATCAGAGATTTTACAGAGATGCTTTTCTGCCGCTGTGTTGTAAAAGGGTGTCTTTAAAATGTCTCATTGATTTATTAGCAAATAGTTGAACCAGGTTTAAATATATAACTTATATTTGCAGTTACCATATGAGAACAAACAATATATCCCCAGTGATTTATCAGCTATAAATCTCGTGGTTTTTATCGTTTTGAGTCATGACCACCTGACATGAGGACAGGGATGTCCAACACGTATCTCTTTTCCTCTCAAAGGTTTCGAGGTAACGTCCTCGCTCTCGAAAGGCAGGCACTAACATTTAAAAGGGCTGAAGGACTGAGGGGTTGTCACACGGAACCTCCAAATGGCATTCATTCCTTGTCGGTCTTGTGCGTGAAACATTTCCGTTGACACCCTGCAATGCGGCGTTGATGAGTTAATCAAGCAGCTGAGTGTGTCCTTTAACTACACCCACAACCCCCCCGTGGATTTTCAGAAAAAAAACACCTCTTATCTCTACGGGAGAGGATTGAAAATAGGGGGCCCTTGGTGGCCGTAAATTTACCGGATCCCGCCGTAAGAACGACGAAACGTGGCTGCGTTTGTGTACGGAGTGCCATACGATGAGTTCCCGCAACTGAAGAGCTGAAGTGGCTCATTGTGTTATTCGGGTGTCCAGTTTAACTCAGGGTTTTTGGGAGCGCGGATTATTTTCTAACTTGCGGTGTGGAGGGGTTCTGAAAAGGGAGAAAGTGAGTTTAGAAAACGTTAATTTGCAACTGGTGTTGCCTCGTCACTCTTTGCTACTGTTCCCACACCCTGCAAGTCCCAGCGGACGCCACAGGAGCGGTGGATGTTACTTTAAGCATCCTGGAGAGGGTCCAGGGTTGTCTGAGATCAGGACCACAAAAATAGGCCCTAAGTATGAAATCCACACTGAGGCTCGCTGCTTTATTGTATGTGTGGGTCGCTCTACGGGTATCGCTTACTTCTCAGAACCTTCTTGTAACCTGGGCTTATTAGACAGCCTTAATAAGGACATCTGACAGCTGAGGCGAGTTCATACCAATGCAGGTTTTGACATAGTGATGAAGTCGCTGCTTTCATATCGGACATTGCATCATTAAAAACGTTTCCAACAGGAGTGGATTTTGTAGATAAGCGCGTAAAAGCAAACATTGATGAAAGCTTTTCCCCTCGTAGAGATTTAAGCATATTTGGCTTTTTGCAGGTAAAAATGACGAGAAAACATATGCTCAGCTACACTAGAATACTGACCTCTTAAGGAGAGACAGGGAGAGTTTTATCCAGCTACTGTGAGCAAGAAGGTTTTTCCACTGTGGGAAAGTCCTGCTCATCCTCAGCAGGGGTCCCGCTCACAGGGGAGGGAGGTTTGCATGCAAGCTGGATCTGAAGGTGGTAATGACCAGAGTATTCTTTCACACTGACAACTCCGCTGGCGTCTTGGAATTTATCTCTTGCAGCACATTTTCACGGGCTTAAGAACGCTCCCTGGTACATCTCACTTACCGTACGGGCGGAAACAGCTAAGAAACAGAGAGCCGAGTGTTGCTTATGCTCCGACACATCGCAGCTACGGTGACGTGCGTCTTCTTGTGGCGGGTTTGCGCCATTTGGCGTTACGCGGAAATGGATTTGTTTACGTCGTGCCGGAGTTTCAGTAAACTCCTGAAGCCTGCTGAGTTTCGTACTGACAGTTTGACACATACGAGGCAAAGGTGAACGGCGCCATCAACAGCTTCAGCTTATTAGCCTGCTGCTCTGACACTAGATCTTGAAAGCCTATAATGAGTGCTGAGCAATATCAGACAAGATAAATCCATCCAGCCTTGCCTTGTGCAAATTTATCAATTTGAGTTTGTTATAATGTTCAATCTAGTTTGCTTTTCTTGTAAAATACAATCCTCACTTTACCTTTCACCTTTATGAACAAAACCCTACTCTTTTTTTTACCCAGTGCAATTTGTATTCTATTCAAACAAATATTTGCAGCTGTCATTCAGTGAGAGTTTCAGTTGATGATGTAATCAATGAATCCTTTTCACATGACATCTTGCATTAGTTTTCAGTAATATGTGGATGTAAGTCCAGTGTTGGTACACAGTAAAGCGCTCATTAATCTTTAGGTGCCCCATGAACTGTGGCCAAATGCCAATAAAGTAAAAAGCATTTACTTCTGCTGCAGCCCAGTTGTTCTTGTCTTTAACACGGAGACACTCAAGCCACAACTTGAACCCATTTGTTATCTGTTGCCTCGGCACAAGTTATTTAGCCTGTCAGCAGAATGATAAACTCTCCCCTTCCATGATAAACTCTCCCCTGCTGTGGTGTCCCCTCGACAGCACGCTCTCACGTTAGCTAATAAACCTATAAGGTGGACGGGAAAAGAAGAGTTTCAGCTCCAAAATGAGACATCAACCGCTCTGAGAAGTGACGACTGCTCTGAAGAGAATCATCAATAACATAAAATGAAAACAAACGACGGTACTTTTTCTACACTCGCAAGGTATCCTAACGGTTTCGGAGTTGAAAAATAGGGACTGAAGCAATTTCTCAACGTGGATGCACCGAGTCGTAGAGCAGAACTGCTCAAATATTGCTGTAAATTCTTTGGATTACTGCTGAAATGCCTGAAGCTGGATTGAAGTTCACGGTGTTGTACACAGCAAAAACTATTAATCACACTTAACTTGACACCATAGGACGTCTTTATTGGAGGTTAGAGTTGGATGTGGGGCCCGGGGGCAAGGTCAAGGCAAGTTTCATTTCTCTGAATTTTTTGCAGCCGTTTCAGACCTTTTCTGAAATCCTCCACATTAAAACAGACCGTTCAGTAACGTTCTACTTACGGCCTTTCAGAGTGAGGTTTTTCTTTACTACTATAAAAGGTTTAGCTTTAACTAAAAGGTCACAACATATGTTGAGATGTTGCTTTATCGTGTCTATGGTCAAAAATATCATTATTTGTTTGCAAAAAACGACAATAACAGCTGACAACTGCTCTGTGGTTTAACGTGGACACCGGGCTTACTATTTACTATTATTACTAATTGGGAACCTATAATAGAAATGTAATGTAATTAAAGTGTTAATCTTTTCCGCATGCAGCCTCTGTTCCAAGATCCCTAAACCACGTGACCGAGATGAGGCCGTCAATGCCCTCGTCCCTCGTCCCCATAAAACCATGATGGGATGTTTTGACAGTGGCCAATTGTTTGGAGTTCCCACTCTTTCGTTGCCTCGCCTTGACGAGGTAATTCCTGGGATCCGGGCTCCATGTTATTAGCCCCGGGGAGTGAGAGGTGCGTTACTCTTCGTGCTAGCTGAGTGTGGAAATTGCCACCTCTGACTGATTAGCTTCCTGTCACCAGGAGGTTATGGATGAACAAACCCCTCTTCAAGCTTCTCGGGAAAACCCCCGAGACCCAGGGGCCAAAGAAAAGCCCACTGAGCGGGAGTTCACTCCGGTTCCTCTCTCTTCTGTGCAGGAATGGCTATCCTGAGGATTTTAGATGTGATATCATTCTATAATCTAACCTTCCTTCAGTGTGGTACCATCTCTGTGTTGTCTGGGTCTCAACTGTTGAGTAGGACCTATATATTAACAGTTAAAAAGATCTGGCTGTCAATCAAACCAAACCCAGCCCAAAAGTACAACCCTGCTACTTTGTCTTTTTTATTCTGATTTAGTAAATAAACATTATGCTGCGTTGAAGAAGCCTGCTGGCCAGTAGAGAGAATGCAGGTCACGCATTCTTCCGCTTTGGCTTCAATCGGCAGAACCAGAGGTTCGCGAATCGCTGAGAGCCGTTGAGAGGCGAAATCGAAATGCTCTTAATCCCGTGTCCCAACATGCGTTACATGTTGTGGGTAAGATGTTCCCTACTAGACTTTGAGGAATGGCTCGTCGCACTGGCATGCCGTTCAGCTGTTACTTTACTTTAAACGTGTACAGAATGCCCTCAGTGTTCCAGTGGCACTTCGAATAAAAATGTCCATCGGATGGCTGAGACTCTGAGGAATACTTCATCTTACACATGTGGAAACGCGTGGGACTCTGCTGTCTCTACTTGGCAACATGTCACAGTCGTGCTCGGTACATTTGTCGTGACCCCAATTCTATTCCTTTCCATGCTTCCTCTTCCTCCTCCTCCTCCTCCTCCTCCTCCTGCTCTCCCCAGCTGGCAGCCGGGCTGGGACAGACACCAAGCCGAGGTCTGACCTCTGCTGACAGAAATGAGTTTTGTATTTAAGACCTATTGCTGGGGGATCGCTTTTTGGCGTCTGGTCAGACTCCAGCCGGTCAGAAACAGTTTGCCTGATCCGGCATGAAGTGCTAAATTGGTTATTGTTCAAAAATATGTTACCACGAGGTGAGAGACTTAAAAAGAATAAAATAAATATCAGTCAACTGGAGCTGCGAACACAACTGTGGACGTGTGTGCGAATAAGTGTGCGGGCGTGTGCTGGCTTGGTCACATTGTGCACGGGGGGGTATCGGCATCGACATTCATATTTGTGCGTATCATGCAAGTGTTGTTTTCAAACCCTGTTGCCATGGTGTCAAACAGTTAAGACAAGTCTTTGCTGACTGACTGGCCACCTGCTGCAGGGAGAAGCCCCGCAGAGAGACGGAGAGGAGGGGAGGAGACAAGGGGGCCATGCAAAGAGAAGTAAGGTGAGAATGCAAAGAAAAGTAAAGAAAAGAAGAAATTCAGAAGCTGAGCAACACTTCTTCTATTTGCTGGTACACGCATGTGTGTGGGTTTCATGCAATGCACATGAAATGGGACCAAGTCACATGTTTTACGTCTACGTGCAGCCCTCCGAAGATTTCCTGTGTGAAGTGCAAGCCAAGTGGAAAATAACGTTTGGCTTTTCACGCTGCGTCTCAGCAGAATGCGTCTTCATTAAGCTTTTTACATGAACTCAAAAGCTATAATATTTTTTTGCTCAGACAAGTGTTTGGAATGAACATTCTCCAGATTGATACCGGGACGGGGCCAAAGTTAAGTACGTCAATAAAGTATCAAGATTCAAATGTGTGTCATTTGAACTGGCATCTGCATTTAATGCTGCAGGTCGTTCCTCAAAAGTGCAGATGAGGTGTGTCAAACACTTAAGTTCCTTACATTGAAGTGTTCGTAGGTTAATATTTACTTTTATGGCTCTGTTACACCAGACTTATTGCCCTCCGTTCTGTTGTCAGTGCGCCCTGTGCGTGACCCTTCAAAGTGTAATTATCCAATGAGTTGCTTATTGCAAAGCCGATGTTCGATGAAGATAAATGTCAAATTTGAGCCCTGACTCAACGACATTCCTTCACCAGTGTCATGAGCGCAGTCACCAACTATAAGTAACTCGCAGGTGAAGTCCAGATGTAGTTTTTAACGGAGCATCTTCAGCTGTGCAGCTACTAATAAAAAGATGGAAATGAAACTGCTGAAAGCTGTCAGTGAATCATCAAAGAATATTTCAAATGGGTTCTTTTACGAGGACAATTCAGGGCAATATTTGCATCACTTCCGTTGAGGGGATAATATTTCTGTTTTGCATCTGTGCACCTGAAGGAATGAAAGCATGTCACACTTGTCTTTACAAATAGACATGAGCGATGGCCGAGGAAGGATTTGTCCTTTCAAGCCATGCCAGCAAATGCACTATTAAGTACGTGTCCTTTTGCTCCGCTAGAAACTATGACGTGAATCACAACTATGCACACTACGACTACAGAGAGAGCATAGCGGAGAGCTCGCTCACATTTCACCATGTACCGCCGCTATGTTGTACTGCATCGTCAAAGCAATTACACAGTCATCGTATGAATATTTCAGTCCTCTTTTGTTTACCTTTATGGATTGGATTGTGTTTTTCTTCAAGGTAACAGTACAGCTTGATGGTATTTACCGCAGCATGTTTGACATACATGTTTATTACCTCTGATTCAACAGTAATTTATTTTAGCACCCTGAGAATTGTAATTCAAACGTCAAAGCAAAAAAAGAAAAGGCCCCATTCAGGCATTCAGGCTTGCGGCTCCTCTCAGTTGGACTCTTGTGGCCTCAGTCGACACCCGCGGGTTCTTGTTACGAAGGCGCGGCGTCTGTTTCCGGTGTATCCGGATATTCTCATTGTATGTGTGACGACGCTGACCGACACGTTAAAACACGGCATCGAAGCCTGCGATGCATGCGGGGGGGGGCAAAAATTGTTCACGGCTAATTTTGTACGGCCGTGGCTCAGCTACGACGTGATCCCATGCCATCTGGCCACAGCTTTCATCACAGGTTGGCGGGATTCCACAAGGCCTCCTTGCATCGCACCGGTAATGCTTACTGTCTATTTATACGGTGCGAGCAAATGGCCGCAGCAGGTTTTGTTAGCACGGCATCAACAAGCAAGAGATGTCCCAACAAAGGAACCCATGGATATTAAGTGCTGGGGGGGGGGTCGGGGATGTTTCACATGGCTTCCCCATCGCTGAAAAGCATCCACAGTTTGAAGCATGGGATGGTTTCTCATGTCATCCTTCCTTATTTGCCACCGCTACCCTCCCCCCCCACACCAGATTTTACCCAGTCGGTGAACCTCCTGGGATTTGAACACGAGTCGGACCACCTTCGTCCTTGGTCAAGCGTTGTTCCCCACTGCGTTGCGACCGCTGCCCGGGGGGGGGGGGGGGACATCTGGTGTTACACCTGTTTCCGAAGAGGGGTCCTTCACGAAACTGGGATCGGCGATACGCCCATTTGTCGGCAGCATTAGTCGCAACGCGTCATGTGATGTGACAGACTAAGCTCTGTACTCAGTACTGTCTCAAATTTCCCATTAAAGACGCACAGCGAGAGAGTGGGAGAGGGGTGATTACGTGTTTCTTACCGCATGTGTAGGGTCAGGGTTATGTGTGTGGGTTACTGTATCCATACAGGGTTGGGACAGAACGACACAACTGCATTGTTCCTGCTGATGGAGCCATCTCGCTGCTTTTTAAAGTTCTCCAGAAGATACCATCTGCTACGTTTAACTCAATGAAGTGCTTTGGTTTTAATATGAATACAACAAGGCATTAAAGTCCCCACTTCATCCATCTGACTTCTCACCAACAAATAAGACAATTTATAGATTAAACCAACTGTGGGTTATTAATAGATAGCGCAGTTTGCAAAAAATATGGCTGTTTGCCCATTGCCCCTGGAGGTCCAGTGCTCATAAGAGCCGTCATGCTAACAGGGTGCCATGACAAACAGGAGGACAGCCATGAACGTTATGCTGTCTCAAGAAAAAAAGAGGAGTGAGACTGGGAGGCCCGAGACCTGCGGCCACGCTCACAGCAAATCGTGTCTCAGATTTCTCAGTGACACAATTTGGAAGCTGAAAGCCGACATTTTTATTCCTTTGCAGATCCGGTTCCAGAAGACATGACAAACATATGACAAACATCCGCGTTGATGATTTTATCATTTAAATCACACAAAAAGCAAAGGACGTCTCATCTTTCTCATGGTTTATTATCTCATTCACTTTTATAAATAAGCCTTTATAAAGGATCCTCTGGTTCCAAGTGCCCTTCTATGAACTATGAGGGGTAAATGATGGTCCATTTTTGTCTTAACACCCCCACAGTGCAGTTTCAGAACAAGGTGATTGTAACTATTTGCTAACCTAAATTCATATTTAGAATTTGTGCTCGGTTATAAATCTTCTTGTGATGGCCAAGAACTGTGAACTTCAAAATCTTCTAACACTACGTGACTAAGTGCACTTTCTATAACTATGTTGGTGACCCCCCCCCCCCCCACCACCACTGCTCATAGCAGGCGCCTCAACTGGAGACGAGTTGAAACACTGGAGGTCAATATACAGACTCTCGGCTGCTTTTAATTAATGATGCAAACTGTCCCAAGCATGATTCAATATGATACACTTTAACCATTGACTGTATTTTTCTTTTAAATAACTGCGTATACAAATGGGTAGTTGGAAGAGCGTCGGAGGTCGAGGGTTAAAGAACACCCCCCCCCCCCCCCCCCCCTACTTCCCTGTAAGTGAAAGGGCACCGAGGGAGAGCGATTGGATTGGTGTCCCCCATCAGGGGGTAAAAAACACCAGGAGCGAGAGTTCCTTCACTCCCGCCCCGTTAATTAGCTTCCCAGCGGTGCTCGGAAAGTTTCTCGCCTCACTTCGCCCAGCGGGGGAGGAGGAAGGGAAATGTCTTTCAACTTCCCGGGAAGTACTGAACCAGAACAGTTGTAGCAGATCTCGTGGCAACCTCTTGCAGGATATGGATGAATAAATACATGAAGAATTAATAATAGATCTGACAAAATGTGCATATATACGTAAGGTTTGGACACACCGTCTTATTGAATTGAATGAGTTTTCAAACTTTTCACTGGATGGGACATTTAAAGGAGTTTGAAGCAACAAGCTTTGAAAAGTACATAAATGGTTTAATGTTCTTTAGTGTGCACTGTTATTGTACTTAAAATGCGTACTGCACTAAAACCTACAGCATGTTGTCCTGTCCTCCCCAGGTGCCTTGTGAAAGTCTCTGGAGTCCCCTGATCCCGTCCCCTTGACTCTGCTCATTGTTTTTGGCAGAGCAGCTGCTTCGAGATTTAGATATCATCATTCAGGCCGGAGGATGGGACATGGAGACATGTCCCCCGGGGAGTCTGCAGAGCACGGAGAGGCACAATGTGAGATGCGTGTGTCGGACACAATTTGATAAAGAGTCTGTGAGTAAGTGACAGCGAAATGCCTCCCAAGTGAAGCCTCGCGCTGCGTGTCATCCCCCCCCCCCCCCCCCCCCAGACTCAGAAAAAAACAAGGAGGAATTTCCCAGTAAAGTCTGGGCAGGACAAAGAAAAAAACTACAAAAATAAAAACAAAAAATGATGAATATAAATTGTGCATTCATCATTGATTACTATGTATATTTGTAACAAAAAAAGTAAAAGACATATTTAAAGCATCAGTTCTGTTTTTTGTATTTCGTGTGTGTAAGAGAACGTTTGTTTACTAGACGATGTGTTTTGTACACGCGGCGGCTGGAATTGAAAATGCATGTATATGAATATTATTAGTTTGAAGCAATCGAGGCGGCAGCAGTGCAAAGTCCTGCTTATTCTGAATACAACACTTCTCTTTATTTTAGGTCTAAATCTGATCCCTGTAAATCTGACAGTGAATTCATTTCATTGTGCGTTCTCAATCGAAGGCCTTTCTGGGACGTTACAGCACCTCTGCCTATTACTTTGACTTCATTTTCTCTCCGTCACATTGTTTGGCCCAATCTACGGAGGCGAGGACTCATGTGAATCCAAATCAATTTGTCAGCTCACGTTTGGGCCAGAATGCCGGCTCACGTGACTGACAAGGCAGCTGAAGCCATTATGCAGAGATTAGGGATTTAGGAACTCCTAAAGTCATCCATCATGATGAATTTTTCATTTTGCTTGATGCGGGCTACGTGTTGTTTTGGAAGCCGCAGAAGTGGTCAGAATTTTGCCGAGCTTTGGACCGCGCACCGACTCGTCAACAATCATTGTCTCTTATTGATTTGGCAGGAAGCGAGTGACTGGCCGCGTTCAAAAGGGAGAATGGTGCCAAACGCTGGGCAAGATCAACTACTCAGGACTGTTTCCTTTGCCAAGGACGGTAATTAAAGCACATTCCACCCCAGAGTAGATCCTGGTTTTGAATGTCTCCAACATTTCCTTTTAAACAATTGTGGAAACAGTTTGGATTATTAACATGTGTGTCCACTCGGTCCAGCTCACAGGAGAAACAGATTGCTCAGCTTTGATGAGAGCTCTAATAAATTATCAAATTTGTCAAGTAACACATTCCATTGAAAACTAGCGTCTATTACTTACTATTGCAGCCCAGGCTTCATGCAAAAATGCAACATTATGCTTGTGGGCTTTCAGTCTTGAAAGGCTGCATAGAATGTGTAGAATGTACCGCTGCACTGCGGTTCTGTGCACACGCTGCTGCAAAGGAGCCAACAGAGTCTCCCGCCTGAGATTATCTTCTCCGTGAAACATGACCGGGAAACCTCCAGGAGTAATAATCGCCTAAATGATTTATTGCACTCAATAATAACTAATGATCACTCACAAAAAACTGATGTGTTCATTTCCAACGGACCATCTCATTGGGCTCGACTGCAACGCAAGGCCATGCACGGAAACAAGGGCCTCTGTCCACACCTTCTGGATGAAGATGATTTGGACATCCGACGCTTCAACACTGTGAATGACTGAGACTTTCACTATTTGTTTTGTTCTTACTAGTTGACCTACTAAGCGAGAATCCTTCATCCTTCAAAACCTTTGCTAAAAATAAAACGTTCACAGTGGTGACATGAGTTGGGATGAGAGCCCAGGAAGTCCAGGCTCGTTGAGTAAAAGCATTGCTGCAACTATTATGCCAGATCATCTTCTTTTTGTCTAGTCCTTTTTTGTTGAAAGGGCCTGATATCCGGAGGAGGATCATTTACGTTTCCTCACTGGTTCAAGTGATAAATAACATTATTTGTTAAATCATGTTCAGCTTCCATCTTTTCTGCATCTGATCGCAAACATACATCAATGTTCACATTCACGTGTGTGTTAAAATGTGGTCGTTCTAACTTTATTGGTTCCCGTTGCTCCTCGGCTTTACTTTATGCCTTCAGCAGGCTTTTACTAAGACGACAAAGGGACCACAGCCACAACCGGCTGTAATTATCACCATCGCCACGTCCCCGTTCCGTCCAGCATCCCTGGCTGCTCCTCAGATCTTTGTCATGGCCCCTTAAGCATTTGATACCCAACATCATGCTGTGTTTATGACACCGCCAAAGCCCTTAAAACTGTCTCGGCTATCTTAGCAGTGCAGGGCAATTGCTGCGTGGAGAAAGCGTCAGGCGGGCCTTTTAGGTGGGAGCACATATGCATGGTGATGGATGGAATCCTTCTCTCCCCTTCTTGCCCTCTGTTAGCGCTGCCCTCTGCACAGCCCTTAATGGCGACGGATCCCCCTTCAAGGCTGTGAGCCCACGCGGCGCTCCAGTCTGCCTTCATGCTTGTTGACTTCAGAAGGTTCTGATGTCATAATGAAGGGGGCCCGGGGCTTTGAAACGGCTCCTCGAGAATTTCACGCTGCCTGTGTTTTGGACGGACTGAGACGCCCAGCTGGCAGGTACAGTAGAAACTGGAGTTTTATTGCCTCTGCACGGGGGGATTACCAGCCGCCCCTGAGGCCTGGTCGGGGCAGCTGAGGCGGGGGCATCGGGCCCCTTCTGCTCCCTTAAACCCTCGAGCCGCTTTTCTCACGCCATCTTATCTGAAAGCATGGCTCAAATCCTGCTAAGCTCTTCCAAATGCAAAGGGATTCAGGGTGGTATAGCAATTACTCCTCGAGTGATTAATTGAGATTGTGCTATGAAGGCAAAATTCGTATTTGAGGAAAATGTTTTGTCGGCTTATAACGTGTATCCAAAACGTCATTGTTTGTGGGGTTTCTTGTGATAAAAGAAATTCCTTTATTGATTATGAAATATATCACTCTGCTGATAGCATAACATCCTCTGCACGGCAAACACAAAAAGGGAAAATCAAGCAAGAATAATGTAAAATAGAATAGCAGGCCGATCCTCGGTGGCAGGTATGGTATCTGCACTTGCCAGAAACCAATTGCAAAATGTTGAGACCCAAGAGGAAAGCAAAAAGAAGCCGGCAAAGAATGAATATGTATTTGTTTTCATTAGGGAGACACATGTTCACTGTCTGTCTCTCCACATAGATCTTTATTACATAAAATGGGCTGTTCCATGTCAGAACAATAGCAGGGAAAAAGCCTAAGTTATTTCCTCCGATGCCTTTAATGATGTAATGCCTTTTGCCATCAGCTAGTGGGGAGTAGCAATCAGTTGGGATATATGGCAGTCCTGCATGATCCCTGGAGCAAATCGTCGGTGCACAGCCCGCATTTGACAGGGGTACAAATTCATCATTTGCTCCACGATATCCCCCCCAAATCAGTTCAGAATGCCTTGAAAGGGAAGCTGCGGGAAAGAAGTGCAAGGACACATGTGAGTCGTCAGATCACCAGCGTGCTCCCAGTGCAACATAAATTCCCTGAAGTGGGAGCGGACATACTCTACTAATAAAGAGCAGTTTCCCAGATTTGCTAATGGCTCAAAGGGCAAAGGGTCGAGCGCTGCTACAGTGAAAGCTAAACGTAATAAGGCTGTTTTCAAAAACTTCTTTGATTTAAAACAATGGCGATTTCAGGATTTCTTTTTGAGATTATTGTTTTACATATTCAGCGTCTGTGGAGTCCTTCCAGAAACATTCTCATATGCACAGAAACACAAATGTTTTACATTGGCTGCATGAGCATGGGTTTGTTTGGAATCAATTGTGCATAAAAAATGGCTTCCTAAAAACACCATTGATGGCCACAGTGGTGGAGATGAAACCAAAGAAAACTAACAAAAAGACAAAGCTTTTAGTGTTGACACTAAACAAAGATCCCCATCGTACCTCAATAGTTGTCTCTGAGCGATCGCTGTAACTAGATCATAAACAATACAACCACTTGAGAATCGCATGCAAATTAGTTTTTAATCCCTCATTTATTGAACAACGAATCAACGCTGCATTATGCTTATTTATCCCTCAGAAAGCCAACGGGAGACGTTCACATGCTCGCAGAGAATGTTTTATGAGAAAAAATGACAAGATAAATGCATTCCTCATCTTCCAGGAAATAACAAAATTATGAAACGGATGGGCCTCTTTGGAAACCATTCTATATGCAGGCAATTACAGAATATCTCTTCCCCACACGCTGCTCAAAAAACACTCAACACAGCTGACAATTTAATTTGCTAAGATTAGAAGCAGATTGTAAAAAAGTTCACTAATGTCCTTTTATGTCTAAAAGATCCAATTTGTAGTGCATAAACTCATCGGGAGGATACTAGAAGACAATAATAGTCGTCTTAAACTGTACAAATCACGGGTTTTTAATATACAATCAACATTTTTCAGCAGAATTGTTTTCAAGGCATATTCAAAATACGTACGATGCTAAATCCACTGCCGACTGTTCAGATTTCAGTTCAGCCTAGCATGCAATGTCACACGTCTTACAGTTGTGTCTTTAAATGGCTGTTATCACCATCTTGGCTTTTGCAATATGATAAAACCTGTACATATTCAACCTCACTGCGGATTCTTTGCCTTTCTGTTACCACGTGTACGCATGTTTCCTCTCAGTAACACTTTTCACATATGATTGCAATTCACAAGTGCATTTTTGAGTGGTATTGTTTAATCTGCTATATATCCCCTTCTTTCCCTCTTCCTCTCCGCTTTCTCTTTACCTCCAAAAGAGCCCCCGGCTGAAATGCGACCACAGAGTTACGGCACTGTTTGCCAAAGCAGTGCTAATAACCAGCTTATTCAGCCGTGTGAGCGTCACTGTGTCCTGTAACATACTGCAGCACGGATGAGCTTTTAACAAAAGACTATTGTGCTTTTAATAGTCAAGAGTGTCTAATGAGTTCGGCACCTCTGGCAGGGGTTTGATGTCTCATGAAAACCCCATAATTTGGTCAACTTATTCAAAAAGAAATCGTGTTTTCAACGTTGACGTTGAAAATGATGGGTTTGGGTTATCGTGTGATTCCTTGAAATCGTGTTTTCAACGTTGACGTTGAAAATGATGGGTTTGGGTTATCGTGTGATTCCTTGAAAAACGTTTTTCAAAAAAACTCTTGAGCCCAAACTCAATATCCTCTAATCAGTGAGCAATG